GGGCCGTTCTGCTTAAACACACAGAGTCTTTTTTTTTTTACTCTGGAACGGGCTGACTGTTCCAGAGTAAAAAAAAAGACTGTGTGTTTAAGTAGAACGGCCCGTTCTGCTTCCGGAACGGGCCGTTCCACTTCCAAAATTTGTCCAAAATGGGTCACAAACTCGAAATAATTTTTTTTTTTAAAACAACTCAAAATTTGGTTTTCCGGGAACTGAATTCTGAGAAAAAAAAAATATTGAAGCTCAGAATTCAGTTCCCGGGGAACCGAATTCTGAGCATGAACAGTAATTAGTTCTACTTCGGTAAATAAACTTGCACAGATGTTACTTTTGTAATTTAAAAAAAAAAATATTATTTACGTTAAAAATTCGGCTGGGGTGGGTATGGTGATTTATTTCCTAGTTTCCTTTCTCTTTAAAGCTCTATATATATATATATATATATATATATATATATATATATGACACTGTCAAATTAACTTGCATTAGTTTAAATTTTATAAGTTTAGGAGTCTCGAAGAAAATATCGATATTTGAAAGGAAAGAGAGAACACTCGATTTCTATTCATCTTTCTCTTCAAACCATCGTACGAGAAATAGTTTTCGAACGAAACACGACGCCGAAGTGCCCAAATTACTCGAACTAAATGACGACTTTTAATTTTAAATTCAAGAGCTGATCAACATTACTGAGGGATGAAACCATTGAAAAATAATAGTACGTACGTGCTACCAATTCTGGCCGTTAGTTTGGAACTCTTGAATAACAGCAACCGTGTCAATGTCTCTATACACACAGTCTAAATAATCTAATAACAAGAGGTACAAATCTTCCACAATGTTAGGATTTATTTCAATCCTCTGGAAATAAAATCACTTGTAATGATTCAAATTCAGTTTCTCAAAGTCCACCATCCCGTTGTTGAAGACATGGAGGAGAAGATCACAGACTTTCCTCGAAGATGGCCTCTGCTGTGGTGTAGTTTTCGTGCACTGTAAGGCTATTTCAAGCACTTGGAATACAGCAAATTCTTCGCCAGGTAAAAGAGGTTTCAGTTCAGGATCTACCAATTCCTCACGGGCAGAGCCATGCATATTAATGTACATCTCTACCCATCTCACCATGTCCATCTCAGCTCCAAAGATTTCATTTGTTGGCATTTTACCACTGACAAGTTCCATAAGCACAATTCCCATGCTGTAAACATCACTTTTCTCTGTTGCATGTAGGGAGAATGCATACTCTGAAAGTCAAGCCAATATTAAACAAGTATGTTCAGTGATTGATGTTAGAAAAGAAATAATGTAAGATCAAAATCAATTCAAAGTTCAAACCAGCGGTTTGATCGCTACCTGGAGCTATGTAGCCATAAGACCCGGCAAACCAAGAATTAGACTCAGTATTGGAATCATAATTCTCATTTAGTGCTTTTGCCAGTCCAAAATCTCCCAAGTGTGCCTCCATTTTGGAATCTAGCAACACATTGCTGGATTTGATGTCCCTGTGAATGATCTTTGGCACACAATCATGATGGAGGTACTCCACACCTTGAGCTAATCCCACAGCAATTTTGAGTCTTGTCTCCCAATCAAGGCTCCTCTTTACTTTGCTTGCCTTGGCTGGTTTCCCATGAAGCCAATCCCATACGCTCCCATTCTCCATGTACTCATATATCAGCAGATTCCAACATGCTTCTTTGTTTCTATTGGTACAATATCCTATTAGCTTCACCAGATGTCTATGCCTGATCCTCCCTAGTGTCTTAACTTCTCTTATGAAGCTTTTGTTTAACAGAAATTCGTCTTTTGTTGAAATCTTCTTGACAGCCACTGTCTCTCCAGTGGCCAATTCAGCTTTGTATATTTTCCCTGAACCTCCTGAACCAATCATGAAGTCATCACTTAGGTTGTTCGTGGCATCCATGATGTCTTCCCATCTGAAATCTCTCTTTCCAGCAGCATTTAGTTGGAACAGTGGCCTTCTCTGTGCTTGTGATGAAGAGGAAGAGTAAATGTAATTCACTTCACTGGCTTTCCTGCAAAATTCTTGCTTGTTTTTGGAGAAAATTCTCACTGCAAGTATCAAAAGTGCAATTGCAGCTAAAGTTGAAATGGAAGAGATTATCACTATTGATGACTCGTTTAGGCCTGCACTCCCGGAAGCATCATCACGCTGGCAGCGCTCAAGAGGGCTTCCACAAAGATGTTGGTTTCCTTCAAATGCTTCGCCTGGCCAGCGGGAGAACTGCTTATCCAATTTTCCTTGAAGGCTGTTGTAAGAGAGATCAAGCTTTCCCAAACTGCTCATTTCCCCAACTTCTGGAGGGATTTCTCCAGTGAGTTGATTGTGTGAAAGATCAAATGCTTCTAACTTTGACAGTGTCCCAAGAGAAGGTGGGATGTGACCTGAGAGATTATTGTAACTAAGGTCTAAAATGATTTGAAGATTTTGAAGTTTTCCAATCTCAGCTGGCATCTCACCATTGAAGCTATTGCTGGAGAGCTGGAGCTCATAAAGCTTGCTCAACTTACCTATCTCTGGAGGGATTGGTCCAGAAAACTTATTGTTGTGAAGTCTGAGGACATTAAGGTATGCAAGATCGCCAATATCAGCTGGGAGACTTCCGTTCAGAGAGTTGTCATTTAGAGAGAGAACTAGCAACTTGGAACATTTGAATAGGCCTAATGGAAGAGGTCCAGAAAAATTATTTGAAGAGAGCTTAAGCTCTCCCAACTGAGGCAAATTTCCAAGCCATGAAGGTATTTGTCCAAAAAGAAGGTTACTGTTTAAATCAATATAACTCAGTTTGTTGCACAACGAAAGCTCAGTTGGTATTGGTCCAGTGAGTGAATTCCCTGAGAGGTCTAACAATGACAGCTCAGGGATTTTTCCCAATGTTCTTGGAATTTCACCAGAAAATTTATTGTTACCTAATCTTAGTCTCTCAAGGGATGGCGAGTTTCCAATTTGAGATGGAATTTCACCGTCAAACTCGTTGTTGATAACATCGAAAGAAAGAAAAGATTGGGAGCTACACAATGCAACCATACTACCATTCAATCTGTTCTTTGAAAGATTCACTCTGGTCAAGTTTGCTACATTTATCAGTTGGTGAGGGAGGTTACCTTCAAGAGAATTGTTGTAGAGCATGAGCTGTTGCAATGCCGTGAGGAATCCAAAAGTTGCAGGAATTGCACCTGAGAGCTGATTGTCAGCCAAATCCAGAATGTTCAGCTTATTACAATTACCCAAGGTGGCTGGAATCTCACCCACAAGCTCATTCTGTCTAAGGTGAAGGAAATTCAACTCTTTCAGCCTTCCAACAGTGATGGGAATTTCCCCACTGAAATGGTTTCCGAAGAAATCAACCATTTGCAAGCTAGAACAATTACCAATCTCCATAGGTATAGCCCCTGACAATTGATTATCATAAAGATACAAAATTTCCAAGTTGCCAAGCATTCCAATCTCTCTTGGCAGAGCACCTTGCAAATTGTTGTGAAACAAAGCAAGAGTCTGCAAGCCACTGAGGTTCCCTATGAAGGGAGAGATGGAACCAACCAAGCTGTTATTGTTCAGCAAAAGATCAGTTAGCCCCTGCAACCCGTAAAGCTCAAGAGGTATGGACCCATTGAGTGCATTGTTGGACAAATCAAGTTGCTTCAGTTGCTGGCACTGACTCAACTCAGCCGGAATCTCATCATAAAGTCCACTTCCTGACAGCATCAAGTGTTCCAAACTTGTTGCATTGGAACATATGGTTCTTGGTATGACACAATTAAGGTTGTTACCAGACAGAACCATGTAAGCTAGCTCACCCATGTTGCCTAACTCCTCTGGGATTCCTCCACTGAGCTTGTTCATTGACAAGTCCAGATTTTGAAGATTACCCAGTTGAGCTAGAGACGGTGGAATAGCACCCTCGAGCTGGTTCCCCATGAAGTTCAGGTAAACGAGTTCACTCATGTCACCGAGTTGACTCGGAATCTCCCCTGATAGGCTATTGTTGGCAAAGTTGAGAATTTGCAGATTCCTGAGTCGACTCAGTTCACTCGGGATTGAGCCATTGAGTTTGTTGTTAGCTGCAGTGAAGATGGTGAGGCTTGAGCAGTTCCCCAACTCGGTCGGAATCGGACCCATCAACTCGTTGTCCTGCAGAATCAGATTTTCCAGGAGACTGAGTTGACCGAGTTGACTCGGAATCGACCCGGTGAGTCCACAGGAAGCCAAGCCGAGGTTGACCAGGTTGACCAATTTTCCAAGAGACTCGGGAATCGTTCCCGTTAATGCATTGTCACCGAGTCGCATGACACGGAGACTCGTGAGGGAGCCAAACTCAGTGGGAATATGACCCGTGAGTTGGTTGGAGAAGAGAAGAAGAGATTCCAAGGAAGTGAGGTTAGAGAGATTAGGTGGAATGGGACCCGTGAGGCTGTTGGAGGAGAGATCAAGGTGGAGCAGGTTTTGCAAATGACCGAGTGAAGGTGATATAGACCCGGTGAGTGACGAGTCAGAAAGGTTGAGACCCACCACTTGCACCGAGTCACCATCTAAAGGGTTTGACTTTGTGTTCAATTCACACGACACCCCTCTCCAACTGCAGTAGTCAGTGTTATCCTCTGACCAATCACTTAGAACATTTTTTGGATCTTCAACAAAAGACTTCTTCACTTCCAACAACACTCTCAAAGTAATGTCACTGTCTGAATTGCCCTGACCAAGGACTAGTAGCATGGGAGAAAAACACAAAAGGAACAAAACTACGAGTGTTGAAAACCTCACCATTTGTTTTACAACTTTGAAACACTAACAAGCTTATTCAAAGTGGGGATTCTTTGGTTTCAAGTTTCAAAAAAAAAAAAAATGTTCCTAGTTATGAAGGTGATGGCAGGGTAAAATTATGGTTTTGGGGGTTGGAGTTGGAAGATGGGGTTGGTTGCTCTTGTGGTTCTTTTTATGTGTGTAAATGTGTAGGTAGATGGATGCATGGCAAGGCATGCGTTGGAGATGAGATGGTATGTGCTGCATGCTTATTGCTAGAAAGCATAAAAATGGGTGACTAATGATAACAAAACATTTTAGTCAAGCTAGCACCTTGAGTTGCAGTTAATGTTCAGAGGGAGAGTCAAATGAAGAGATAAGCTGATAATGAGAAGAGAGGTCAACAAGCAACATGGGAAATATAAGGAAAGGAAAAAGTCCAACAATAAATATATCATAAGAAAGAGAGATGTGTCATGTATGGAATGCAACAATGGTCAGATATTGTCTCAGAAGAAAAGAAACAAGAAACAGAATTGAAAAGTATTAGTAGTATGTCATGAAGATATGGGGTTAGAGGAGGAGGATGCAGTAGTTGGATAGAGGAATAGTTGTAATTGCTTTATTAGTGTCGTGGCTCAACATGAATGAGAAAGTGAGCAGTTCAATAGCAATACCCCTTTTTAAAACTTTATGAACTGAGTTTAGGTATCTGGCGTTGGTATTGGTAATCACTATTCCTAATAAGTTCATATAGTTTTCTTCACATTATTACTATTTTTACTTCTCTTCATCAAAACAATCAATCTTACGTTAACATTAATAAAAATTAGAAATAAAGACCTCTGTTCAGTTTAAGCTACGACCAACCAAAAGAAAATTTGATTTGAATTTTATATTTCTTGTCATTCTTTTTGGTTTGAGTTACCAAACCTGATGTCCTTTTGTATCGTTTCATCTTTATTATTGGTTGCACGTAACCCTTTTGCCTACTCCAAAAGCCTTTTTTTAATGTTTTGTTTATACTCAATAATGTTACTGTTGTCCTAATTGACGATAAAACATGTTAATTAATTCATGTTTTTTATACTCTTGGTTTGTTTATGTCCATGGCTTCATACCAATCCTCTAAACATGAATTTTAAATTTAATATGGATTGATAACTCGATCATTTATAAATTATACGCCTACTGAATTTCGAATTTGTTATTCAAGTGTTAACACTTTTGTAGCAATACATCATATATGTGCCTTGGTTTCATTAATTGTGCTGAAGATTAACTGATTATTTAAAAATTTAAAAGACTATTTTTAACATAGTCTTCTATCACTATAGTCAAATTTAAAATGTTATTTAAAAAGTTTGAGACAAGTTTTACTCGAATGATTGAGTTGTTAAATATGGGTGTTACTTTGAAAACTAATACATATGAATATGATGATTCCATTGGGGTCCATCAAGTCTTATCAATGTGTTGTTTTATTCCATTATACCAAAATGAACGAACATGAGCAAAGCGTACTCTACTTATGATCATATATTAAAAGAAATCAAAAGGGATGGAAAGCCTATAATGCAACAAAGTACATAGCCTATTGCTCTTCAAAACTTATCCAATATATGCTTCCAGGGCCTATGCAATCCATCGTAAAATTAATGACCCAACATTCATGAAAAGTATTCAAAACCAAACCAACTTAAAAAGAAAAGTGCAGATTGATAAAAAAAAAAAAAGAAGTTGAGAACAGGTAGAAAATAAAAAAAATTAGCAGTTTAATTCAGGGTTTAAATTTTCAAAAATTCATAGTTTGATTCATTTTTGGATTAAAATTTAAAATCATTTAAAATCAAATTTAACTGTACTTATTTTAACTATACATTTTTTAAAATGCATAGTACATATATATATATACTTGACATATAATATAATTTTTTTATAAAATTATAAATTATTAAAAGATAATTTTCTCTTTAAATGTACGTTATAATATTTAAAATATATTTTATAAAATTATAAATTACTAAACTGAATTTTAAAATAAAAAATTATGATTTATTTATAACATTCAAAGTATATTTTTTTAAGTGACAAACTATATATATGAGAAAAAATATTTAATATAATAACTAAAATTATTAAAATATATTTAATATAATAACTAAAATTATTAAAAAAAATATTTTTATTAAATAAATAAGATAAAAATTGATGTTAAATACATCAAGAGATTAAAATATTTTGTTATTTACATACTTTTTATTTATTTTTTATTTATGATTTTAAACAAATAACATAATATTACATATTTTTAGTTAATTTTAAAATATTTTTTTAAAATCACACAAATCAAATCAAATTAAAGATTGATTTAATTTGATTCAAATTTTATAATTCATTTAAATTGAAATAAATCAAATTGTACTTATTTTTTTAAATTTAAATAACTCTTAAAGTAAAAAATCAAACTAAACTCCCTGGTAAACTTCATAATTTCTCTATTAAGACTTATCAAAAGACTTTTAAAGTAAAAATGAACTAAACTCCATTGCAAACATCATAATTTTCCTATTAAGACTTATCTAATGCCTTTTGTTCGTATTTATCCTCTTTAGCATTTAGGTCTAACTTCTCTGTATGAGCATCTGCTTAATGCATGTGAACCATCCTGGTTGGTCCCTCCCCTCTTAAATCATAAATCATATGCTATAACCCTTTCATATCTTAACTGTAAAGTGCTTCTCCAAATATATTTTGTCTTTTCAAGTATGGTTCACCATTCAAATTCCATATTTTTGTATCATTTCAAAGAAAAACTTTTGAAAGATGAAGGTTATTGGTTAGTCTTGTTTTCATTTTTTTTTTATATATTTATATTATTAATGTGAAATATTCATTAATTTTATCAATAACTAATATTTATTAATAAATTTAGTTGCTCATTTTTAGTGGCCTCTTTTCATTAATATATATATATATATATATATATATATATATTATGTAAAATT